TTACATTATTCTGTATTTAGTTGCTGTATGTTTAAATTTCCCTCTTTTTATTCCAAAATCAGTTAAATTCTTAAATAGAATTTCTACATTAACTGTTGTTGCTGCAGTCATAACTACTTTTGTAGTACTAGGAAAAGCAATTTATGCAGGAGCTTCTGGTAAATCATCAAATGGAAGTGATGCAAATTATCCAACATTCAGTGGAAAATTGTGGCCAACTGGAGCAATGGATTTCTTTACTATGGCACCATTTATTACTGCTAACTTCCAAATACATTCTTGTTTACCACCATTGTATGTTGGAACAAAAGGATTATCTAAAAAAACGAAATTAGCTGCTTTACAAGGTGGTAGTTATGTTTCTGTTTTAACTTGTTCATCCTTATTTATTATTATGGCAGTTAGTGGACATGTAAGTTTTGATAAAGTTTCATCTAATGTATTAAATGATTTTTCAAATCCAAACAATTCAGATGTAGATTGGTTAATTATTGTTTGTCGTATGTTAATGATCATTGTTGTAGTTATTTCGTATCCAGCATTAATGTTCCCAACATGTGCAGGTATTCTTAGATATATTCCAAAGAAATGGAAGATAGTACAATTATGGAATAGTAGAATTATTATTTTAATGATTAGAACTTGTATTCTTATATTAACAACATTTTGTGCAACATTTATAATAGATATTGGAGTTGTATTCTCAGTGGCATCAGCTATTTTTTCTATATTTGTGGTTTATGTTGGACCAATGTGTATAATGATGTTATGGCCTCGAATTGAAAAATTTGGTGATCCTAATTTCAGAAAATTATCAATAATAGATAATATTATTTATAATAAAGTTGTTGATGGAAATCAAAGATTTACTCAAAATGATATTGAAACTGCATTAGGAAAAGAAGAAGCAGAAAAAAATGAAGGTGTTGCTGATGTTGTTGTTACAATTGATACAAATACTAATGGACAACAAGAAATTGAATTAAATGAAATTAAAAAACAAAAAGAAACAAATATTGAAAGTCCTGAAGATGATTCATCTATTATCGCAACAGATGAGACTGATGCTGAAATTATGAAAAATAAAAATAAATGGATCAAACTTCCAGATGCACATATCCCAATTTGGAGATATATTGTGTATGGAATTGCTATGTTGATTTGTATTGGGTTGTGTGTTTTGTCTGTTGTTGGAACATTAATAGAACAATTCACTGATTGACTAAAAATAAATAAAAAGATTTTGTTATTTTTTGATTATCAATGATTCAAGTTTCTAATAATAAAAATTACATAATATTATTATAAAAAAATATTATTTTTATAGTATTTGAAATAGGGCAAATTTCTATAAATATCTTTAGGTAAAAATAAAGGAAAATGGAAAAATGAATTAATCCACAACTAGTAATATCAAATGGTTAACTTTACTTGTGATAAGTGCGGTGAAACTATAAAGAAATCAAAAGCAAAAGCCCATGCATCAAAGTGTCGTGGATTTTGTGGGTATACTTGTATTGACTGCCACAAATCATTTAAAACTGAATCTGAATTTGATGCACATAAACAGTGTATAACTGAAACTGAAGCTTATCAAGGTGCTTATTTGAAAAAGAAACAAGAAAAGAAAGAAGTTTTAAACGAAGAAAAGAAACCAAAAACCAAAGTTGAGAAAGAAGATAAAAAAGACAAAAAAGAAAATAAAAAAGAAGCTAAAAAGGAAGAGAAAAAAGAAAAGAAGGAGAAAAAAGACAAGAAAGAAGATAAACATAATGAGAAGAAGGAAGAAAAGAAAGAAGAGGGTATTAAAGACTCTTCAAAAGAAGAAAAAAAGGAAAAAAAGAAACATCATGAAAAGAAGGAAAAGAAAGAAGAAGAAGAGATTAAATCTGATAAAGATGATAAAAAAGAAGAAAAGAAAGATAAAAAGGATAAGAAAAAGGAAAAAAAAGAACACAAAAAACATGATAAGAAAGAAGAAGAAATTAAAGAAGAGAAAAAGCCAGAAACTAAAGCTGAGAAAGAAGATAAAAAAGATAAAAAACATAAAAAAGAAGCTAAAAAACAAGAAAAGAAAAGTGAAGGCACTAAGAGAACAGCAAAAATTATGACAATAGCTGATTTAGCTGATATTTCTGCTGATGAAGACTGAATGAATTTATTTTAATTTTTATAAACAAAAGACTTTTTATTATTAAAGAGAAAAAACGACAAATATATTTATAATAAAAGAAATTAGTTAATTTAAGAAAAGATTCATTGCATCATCTAAGCTAATTGATAATAAGTGTATTTCTTTGATATAAGTAGAGTACTTAGCAACTAAAACAGTGGCAGATAATTGTTGATCTTTAGAACCCTTTTTTAAATCATTTTGAGCATCAGTAAGTTTTTGATTATATAATTTCTCTAAACTATCAAGGAAATGTAATTGATAAAATAATTCTCTTTGATTCAAGATACTTAAAATATAAGCCACCCCAATAAGGAAACCATCATCAGACATAATATAACCTTCTACATCAAGATTTGTTGAATTTCTTAATAAACGCTCTTTAGCAGCAATAATGAAATCTATATAAGTTAATAATAATGAAGGAAGAGATAAATAGAAATATTTGAGATGGGCATATCTTTGAGAATTTAATTCATCTTTAAATATTTCAACAAGTAATGTTAAATATTTTAAGTCATATCCATCATAAGATTTAGAATATTCAGAAATAATTTTTGAAAAATTTTCTGCAGCAGTTTGAATTGATTGAACTTGTTTAGAAGTTAAATCAACAAAGTCAGGAATATTAAAAAGATCAGGAATAAACTCAATAGTTTTGGCACAATGCATCAATCCACCTGTCCTTATCATTCTAACAAATCCAATAGAATTACCGATGAATGTAATTAACATTCTAAATAAATCTAAATAACTTGAACTTATAACCTTTTTGTTGTGTTTAATTTTTCTAAGCCCAAGTCGTTTAAATTCTTTAATATCTAATTCTGCCATTGATAATGTATAAATTTTTCCATCAAATGTTTTAAGTGATTTCATTAAAATACCTTTTATTTGGTCATCAAATAAAAATTCACTTAACAATGTAAATTGTTTTAATAGGTATTGATAAACATAATTAACACATGTATTCATTATTCCCATTCCATGTGTTTTAATTGACTCTGCAATTTGATTAATTCCAATAGAACTTAACCTGTTACCATCTGATTCTCTTTCAATAAAACATTGAGAATATAAATTGTAATGATATTTCATAACAAAAGAGTGAATATTTTTCATTATCCTCAATACGTCAAGTCCTTCAACTGTTGTTTGTCCAATTAAATAATTTTCAAAAAGATGTAACCCATATTTTTTTTCTCCTAACACCTTCATTCTTTGATATTCGTCCCAATTATAATGTTTATAGAATTTAGTTTCTAATGAGTTTTCTATTTCACTTTTAATATGAATACATCTATTTAAAATAATAAATGGCTGATCAATTATTCTTTGTATATCTTGAATTGGATGAGAAATAATATTAACATCATTAACATTTAATTCTCCATAGATTTGTAATCTTAAATCTTCTTCAATTTGAGTTTGTAATGGTTCAATAATTATTTTTTTAATTAAAAGTTCAATTTCATTATTTAATGCTTCATAAATATCTCCAACAATAATTGTTTGAAGTGATTGATTTTTAATAATAAATGAATATACCTTATTAAACTCAGTAAAACTTTCATAAAATTCTTCATTTTTAATAATATTTTCATATATTTTTTCTAATAATGGATATCTTACAAAATAAAGAAATGCCATATTTGTTGCATTTTTTAATTCTTCATTAATTTCATTAATCATAATAATTTCTTTTATTCTTTTCCAAATACTATCAATTTTATCTGCTTTACAATCTTTTCTTAATTGATCAAGGTATATTTCCATTATAATAAATTCTTTAGAATTTATATTTTCATTCATATAATTTGGAATAACATCTTTTAATTTTTCTGCTTCATTATTCTTTTTAATTGTATTAATTTCTTGTTCTACTTTATTAATTAATTTTATAATTGATTCATGCTTACTTCTTTGAATCTTTTCAGTAATTTTAATAATAAGGTTACAATATTTTAATGTAATTCCAATAACACTCATTGGAGTTGGTCTTCCAACTAAACTAAATCCATATAATAATTCAACTATCCTTCTTTTTAGTTCATAAATAAGTTCTATCCCTTTTGTTAATGAAATTTTTTTTAATAAAAATTCATTACAACTTGCAATTAATGTTGATGGATCTTTTATCACTTTCAAACTTTCATCTAAACTTATTGTTCTTGTCTTTCTTATTCTGCTTATTAGGTTTGATGAATCAATAGGACTTTTTGAATCAAAACAAGTTAATATAACTGGGTATTTACGTGCTATTTCTTCTAAATTTTTATCTAATGTTCTTGACAACGAACGCTCAGATGACCACGAAACATAAGCATAGCAAAGATAAATAACAGATAAAATATCTTCTGGTGATGCAGTTGCTTTAATTATTCTAGAGGTCTCAAACAAACATACAGAGTGCATTATTTTAATAAATAAGGAGGTTGGAAATTTAGAAGATGGTAAAGAGAAGTCTTGTTTTAGTATATCATTTTCTCCTTGAAATCTATTTTGGAATGTTGTCATAATAACTAATAAGTTTGCAATCTTTTCTGCATTAGGATTATCTCCTGCTGCAGCACCTGCATAATTTGATATTAAATGATAGTAAAAGCTGATATGTGATAGAAGTGTTGGATTATTATGAATTGATGTGTCAAGAAGAATGTGTGCTGATAACAACCTTCCAATATCATTAAACAAGGTTCTAAAATAGTATTGGACTTTGGCTTGAAGAGCAGAAGTAATAAATTTAACAATAGACTGAATCAACAAAAAACATTTCTTTGAAAAAACTGTTATAGAATGAATTGATGGAATTAATGAAGTAATCATATCCATTTCTACTGAACGTGGAATTACACACTTTTCTTCTGATAATTTCTTTGTCACTGGGTTATAATCACCATACATAATAAATTTATGTTGGAGACTTGGTAATTCTTGAAGGATTTCATTTGTTTTTGAATGTAATAAGACACAATTTTTTAATAAAACTTTTATATCGTTTGGAGCATTATCAAGTGCATGGGTTTCTGGTTTCATTTCCATTGAAAAAGGAGTTGTTGGTATGTGTTGGTGATTATAACTCATTTGTGATTCACTATTAATATATTCTCGAGTCATTTCATTGATAGAAGATATATAAATACTTGACTGGTCTTCAATTTGTTTGGTTTGTTGAGGTGTTATTGTTGTCATGTAGAAGAAATTTGTTAAATAAGTTAATTCGTTCACAAAATAATTTTTTTATTTTTCAAAAATATTTCTTAAAAAATGTTATATATAACCGATTTATTTTTAAAAGATTAAAATAGACTTTATCAATTTAAAAAGAGTAAGTACGAAGTTTGAACAAATTAAAATCATTCAAACTATCTAATTTTATTTTTATAATATATTGTTGAAGATTCTAAGAACTTTTTTATTTTATTATTGTTGTTTTGAATACTTACAATATAGTGTAAATATTTCTGTGTTATAGAAAAAAAATTTTTTATATATTCATTCTACATATTTGGCTTTTGTCCAATATTTTTAGTCTTCTTTTTAATTTCTGAATAGTAGAAATATTTTAATATAATGAATCTTTCTAATTTTTTAATTAATATCATTTTTTTGAAATTAGACCACCGAATATAAATAAAAACTAATTTATAGGGCTTAATATAGTTTGTACCTTTTGTAAAGTGAAATAGCAATTACCTTTACATTGGAAATAAAAAAAGCTTTTAGTACTACTATTAAATAATATAAACAGAGTATTTTCCTATTATAAATTAAATTAAAATTTATTTATTTAAATTAAAATTCTTCTCTCTTTAAATAATAAGGATTAGTAATTTTATTTTAGAAACCTAAAGAAAGGTCAAATAGACTCTCTGGTTTTGTTCATCCAGAATTTAGTAACTAGCAAGATGAAAAATACAATTAAAATATATTCCAGTACTTTGAAGTATTCAAAGATAAAAATAAATCGAATAACAAAATAGAAATTTGTTATTAATATTTATTTTATGTTTTTAAATGTATTTATAGTTATTCCAAATTTAGCATTTTAAGAAAAAACAAAAAGAATTATAAAAATAAATAAGAATAAGTTAAGCAAAAGTTCCCGAAAGGACAGAGAAATAATAAATTCAAAAAAAGTGTCTTGAGAAGAGAAATGAGGAAAAACTCCCGAAAAAACACAGGAAAATATACTAAAAAGGAAGAATCCAAAAGAAAAAAAAGACAATTGAATTGAACTGCAAAAGTAAATGAACGCATTAGTAAGAAAATTAACATATATTGCAGAAGACTGTGGGTTCACTTATCAAGAACTTGAAGAACAACCACAGGAACCAACTTCAGAAGAAGAACAAGAACAAACTGAATTTGGAAAAAGAAGACATATTTTAAAAGCACAAATTAAAGACGCTAAAGATTTAATTGAGAAAAGAGCGGAAATGGAAGCACAACCTGATGTCGATAAAGTTGAAGTTGTGAAAATTTCTACAGATATTCGTAAAACAATGAAAGAAGTAATTCGATTAGCGGAAGATTTAAGGGCATATCATGATAATGATGTATATAAGAATAGAAAGAAAGTTTGTCATTAAACAATAATTAAAATGAAAGATATTTATGTTATGATAGAAAGACCCAAAAATTAGAGATAGATTAGGAATTGAAGAAGAATCTCTTAAATGTATTCAACAACATATCGAACAATTACAAAAAATGGATAGAGAACGAAGTGGAATGGGTGATGTTAATAGTTCTGGAAGACCAACAGTGAATGGATTAGATAAATATAAAGTAGATGAACTTCCTGATATAGAAGACGATGAACGATTTAAAATATTAAAAGAAAATGATAAAGAGATTGATGCAAAGTTAGATATTCTTGCCCAAGGTGTAAAAGATGTTAAAAATGTAGCACAAGAAATTGGAGGTAAAATTGATGTTCAAAAAGAAAAATTAGATGTTCTTGAAGATAAAGTCGATCACGTCAATGACCGACTTGATGCAACAAATGCTAAATTAAAAGGATTACTTGAAAAAGTACGTGGTCCAGATAAAATGTTAATGACAATAATGATGATTTGTTTGCTTTTAGGTGTAGTCAGTATTATCGCAATGATTTTCCTTAAATGAATAATTTACGATTGATGGTTTTATTTTAAACTTTTTAAAAATTTAAATTTTTTTAATTTTTTCATTTAATATTTTTTATAAAAAAAATTTTTAAAATAAAATTTTTAGATGAAAGTAAATTTAAAGATCTGCAAATTCTTGTGAACATGATTTCTTAATTGTTGATTTAACAATTTTTGCTCGTTTAGCTGTTATTTTAGTACCATCTGGGTAATTCCAAACTGATTCGATAACTATTTCATCAGCTTGTTTACAAAGGATAAATAATCTATTTTCACAACTTTCCCATTGTTCTACAAAATGTCCATCACAGTTATATACTTGAAATTTATATTCAAATGGAATTGTACTAATATCAACTTCTGCTATGCATTTTCCATCTTTATATGTCATAGTATATCCTTCTGTCCAATTACCAAGCTCTTTAGAAGAACCACATACTCTAATAACTTGTCCTGGATGGGTTTTATAATCAATAACAAATACAATATGAACCATTCTGTTTTAAATAATCTTTATAAGATTATCCTTAAATAGTATTCAAAATCTCTCTACTAAAAAACTTGAAAGGCCTTTCTCCTTGCTGCATCACTTCTTTCACCTTCATTCTTTAAAAGAATCTTCGGATTCTTTCTTTGAATAAAATTATCATTTTATAATTCATTTATAATTTATTTATTAATTATTTACTATAATGTGAATATAGTTTGTGATTTTTAAATGTTGGGGCAATTCGTTTTTTACATCTTTTGATCGTTGTTCTTTTCATAATGAAATTAGTGATGTATAACATAAATTAAATTAACTCAAAAATGAAAGAAAGAAAACTAAGATGTATGAAACCAAATACCAATACAAGACTAAACTATCTTAAAAAACTTAAACTCTGCTTAGATAATTATTGTAAAGATGTAAAAGCAAAAAAAAATAGATTGATATGGGATAAAGAAATTGAAAGACTAAAAAATGACCTGTACATTAAACAAATACTTTCTTATATGGAAAAGAAGTCCAACCAATTAATTTATTTATGTGATTCACTTAACTTAAATCAATTTATTGAAAGCATTGAAAAATCTAATCCTAATTTATATAATCAAGACACTATTGAAAACCTTGTTAATCAATTTATATCATTAGACATTGGTGATATTCCTAAAGAAGAAGGAAAAAATGAAGAAGATTTCTCTAAACAAAATCAACAAGAAGAACAAAGCGAAAACCAATCAATTCAAATTGTTCAACCAGTCACTATTATTAATGATAATGAAGATGATAAATATCAAATGGTTGGTGGAGGAAATACACTTGGTTCATTATTACATATAGTTAGTAATCAATCTACAGATGAAAATGAATTAGAAATTAAACAAAGACCACTCTCAAATGATAAAGAAAGTAAAACATTTCTACAATTAAAAAAAAATCAAATTCCAAAGAGAACAATTACATATTCTCGTATAAACAAACCACCCTCTGACCAAAAAGAAGAATTAAATCTATCACCATCAGTTTCAATTATTAATTGTTATGAAGATAATGATAAATCTGATAATACACTTCATCAACTATTCAATGAAACAGAAAATGAAAAAGTTGTTGATTTAACAAATACGAAAGAACCGGCTTGTCTTGCTTTAGACATTGAGGAAGACTTTTGTGTATTAAGAAAAAAAAATGATCATGTTAACCAGTGTTATGACTTATCACTAGAAACTCAGTCAATCTTCAGATCTTTAATTCCGTTATTGTAATTGAATAATATCTATAAAATCATCTCATTCAACTCTAAAGAACTGAAAATTTTTATTTATATTAAAATGGCTTCTTCTTTTACAAAAGAACGCAATAACGAATTTTTAAAACAACTAGACTTTAATGACAACAGAGATTTTGAAGATGCCCAAAGAGGGTTTATTGGTACTATTGAAGATGGTATAATCCTTACCAAAGAAGGTAATACTTCTTATTCAATGAAATCTTATGACTTCTTAAAAGACAAATGTCCTGACACTGTCAACCCAAGTTTATGGAGACAGTGTCAACTTAATAGAATTAATGGGTTATTTGAAGTTCTAAAAGATAAGATTTATCAAATTCGAGGTTTCGATATCTCTAATATGACGTTTATTAGAGGAGAAAAAGGATGGATTGTTATTGATACTCTAACCACTACTGAAGCCTCTTCTGCAAGTCTTTCTTTATTTAGAAAATATTGTGGAGAACTTCCAATTACAGCTATCATTATTACTCATTCTCATGGAGATCATTGTGGTGGATTTATTGGAGTTGGAACAGATGAGACGAAAGTATATGTACCTCCTAATATGATTAATGAGTTAATCAGTGAAAATATATTTGCTGGTCCTGTTATGGATAGAAGAAGTACTTATATGTATGGTCAAAACTTAACTACTGGACCAACTCAATTTGTTGGTAATGGACTTGGTCAACAACTCTCTCATGGATTAAATGCTTTTCCTAAATATTCTCAATGTATAGAAATTAAAGGTGAACAAGAAATTATTATTGATGGCGTGAGTTTCCATTTTATAGAAACTCCAGGAGCTGAAGCACCATCTGAATTTGTATTTTACATTCCTTCTATGAAAGCGTTCTGTGCTTCAGAAGAGATTAATCATATTATGCATAATCTAATTACTCTTCGTGGAGCAAAAGTAAGAAATGGCAAATTATGGGCTAATTATATTGATAAAGTTATTGAGAAATTTGGTGATGACGTTGAAATTAATTTTGGATCACATCATTGGCCAACATGGGGAAATCAAAGAGTAAATGAATACTGGGAAAAACAACGAGATTTATACAAATTTATTCATGACCAAACTTTAAGATATGCCAATCTTGGATATACCCCTAACGAAATTGTTGATTTATTAAAATTACCTGATTCATTGGCTAATGAATTCTATTGTAGAGACTATTACGGATCTCTTAGTCATAACATTAAAGGAGAATATCAATTATATATTGGATGGTATGATGGTAATCCTGCACACTTAGATCAATTACAACCTTCAGAATTAGGAAAAAAGTATATTGAAGCATTTGGAGGAGAAGGTAAAGTACTTGACCTTGCACAAAAGGCATTTGATAAAGGAGAATATAAATGGGCTGTTGAGTTACTTAATCATTTGATATTTACTAATCCAAACAATGAACAAGCACGTTTATTACTTGCTAATACATATACTCAGATGGCTTATTCACAAGAATGTGCAGTATGGAGAAATATTTATTTGAGTGGAGCACATGATTTAAGAAGAGAACCAATAACAATGGCAAAAAGTGATAATTTGAAGAATCCTTATGTTCTTCGTTCAATGAGTTTAATACATATTTTTGATACATTATGTATTATGGTAGATCCAGCAAAATTAGTTGGTGCTGATTGGAGAATTAATTTATTATTTGATGATGTGAAAGAAAATTATTGTATTATTGTAAAGAATTGTGTTGTTAACATCAGAAGTAGTCTTCATAAACAACCAACTTTCACTGCTCATGTTACTAGACAATTATTATTTGGAATATTTGCAAAACAAGTTAACCTTCAAGAAATTATTCAATCAGGAAAGATTCAAATCAGTGGTAATCCTATGCATTTATTTGGATTATTTGGATCAATTGGGGTTCAAAATCATCTTTTCAATATTATTGAGCCATAATTTAAACTTTTATTTTAATTAATTTTTGTTATAATAAAATAATAAAACACATAATTAATAAACCATAATTTAAACAAATCAAATAATTAATAATTGATTAAATTATCTTTCTATTTTTGATTAGCAATGAAGATAAATGCAGTTATCCCTGTCCGAGAACTGCAAATGTGGATATGTTAACTAAGTCTGAGCTTAACTTTTTTAATTAGTAAAAATAAAAAATAAGAAAAAACAATTCATTCTATAAAAAATAAAAATAAAAAAAAACTAAAAAGTTAAAAGGAATGGAAGATATTCAAAAAGCACTTCTTGTTGTTTATGGAAATGGTAGTGATACTCAACTTAAAACTCAAGCCAGTTATTATCTTGCAGAAGTTTTAAAGAAAAGAGAGTCTGTTCAATATTTTGAAGGATTAATGCAAACACCTTCAGAGGATTCTCTCCAAATAGTAAAAGTTAATTATGGTGCAACAATATTGCAAAAAAGATTAATGTATAGTTTTGATTTGTTTCCATTAAATATGCTTACTGGAATAAAAGATTTCATCTTCCAAAAATTGATTCAATTTAAAACAAACAATTTAATTGTTAAACAACTTTCGTTATGTGTTGTTGCTTTGGCATTACAAGACCCTAGTTGGAATAATTTTATGGATAATGTTGTTCAAAAGATTCCAATTTCAAATGAAAATAATCCATTGTTATTAACTTTATTTATGGAAATTGCTAATGCTTCAAGTAAAATGGATTTAATTGAGATATCTATGAGAAATAGGTTTATTCAAATAATCAGTCAAGTTACTCCAACAATTATTCAATTTATTATTTCTATTTGTAATCAAGATATTTCGTTAATCAATAAATCAACTGATTGTCTTTGTTCTTGGATTCAATACTCAACTATCTCAGTTGATTATTATAAAATTTCCCCATTAATTCCTTTCTTATTAAAACAATTAGGCTCTTCTTCATGTGAAGCAGTGTCAAATGTAATGGATACTTTTATTAAAAAATTAACTCACATCGACTCTCATTCTCCTTCTCCTCAAGAAAAAGAAACTATTATGAATATTGCTGTTGGTATTCTTCAAGAATATACTAATTATACTGTCATGATATCAAGAAATCCATTAAATTGTTTCTTTGAAATATCTCATTTAATTGCAATTGATTTATATAAATATGTAACTTCTCAATATTCTATATTAATCAAAGAACATTTAAACCAACTTATTCTTGCATCTGACACTATTAATGAAGATATAATTAGAAGTGTTTCTGAAGCTGCTATTGTTTTACTTGAAACTACATCAACTCGAAGGGCAAGTGAGGCTACAGTTCTTTATGAATTCTTAACTAATTTTGCTAGACAAATGATGCAAAAAGTTGTTTCATTACATTTTGATCCACAAGAACGTCAAGGAGAAGACTTAGAAGAATTTCTTAAATTCAGAAAGACATCATCTTTTTATTTATTTAGAAAATGTATTGATGTTCTTGGAAATTCTGCTTCTATTGATATTCTCTCTGGACTTTGGAATTCAGTCAATAATAAAGAAACTATTATAGCTGCTCTTATTGCTGGTTATGAAGATTTTTCTATGAGTAATTCTCAAGAACTCTTTCAAATTATTTCATCCTCAATTCAATATGTTTCTCAACAACAAAATGTCCCATTCGTATTTACAAGAAGTTTGATTATTGTCCTTGGTAAATATGGTAGGTTTTTCCATGATAGTTGTCCTCAAGTAGTTCCAGAATGTATTAATTTCTTATCAAAATTTGTTGGTAATGATTTGTATGGAAGTAAAACTGCAAAATCAATGATGTTATTATCTCAAGAATGTAGTAGTCAAATGGTTCAAAATTTATCACTTTTAAAAGGTATTTATGGTAATGTTATTCACTTAGTTATGTCAGGGAAATTAAAAGGAAATGAAAAACAATTTGAAGATTATATCCATGCATATTGTAATGTTATTGGATCAGCACCTACACATGAATATCTTCAAGAATTATTTAATGAACCAAATATTGTTATTAAGAAAGGTGTATTAGGAAAAGTTATTACTAATGAAACAATGACTGCTTTTTGGTTAATGAAAACTATTTTTATTGGGCTAAAACGTTCTAAATTCAAACAAGAAATTGCAGCTGTAATCATTGATTATATGGTACCACAAATGTTATTCTCATTACTTGAAATTGCATCAATAAATAAAAATGAACAAGCATTAGAAAGTACGTGCATTGTTATTGGAAAAATGTTTATGGTCATTGAAGTTCATTGTCAACCAATTTTCAGTCAATGTATTGATTCCATTAAGGCATGTTTTAATATAACTCATTCAAGTTCACTTATTAATTGTTTGTCAATGATAGCAGATGCATTGTATACTCATTCTATATTCCAAGAAACATTAAGAAAGAATTGCGTTCCATTACTTATTGAAGCAATGAAACTCTGTACATTAACAACAAATGACTTAATTATTGATTGTGCTGATTGTATTTTTTATTTCAATAGAATTAAATTACCAACAGAATTTCTTCCATATGCCTTTAATTGGTTATTACAATTTACCTCAGTTCCAGATCAAGATGCTTATCATGCAATTTGTGAAAATCTTGTTGATTTTATTAATGATGGAAATTCAATTGATTTAGTAAAACAACCAACGACTTTATTAACAATGATTGAAAGTGTTGTTCATCTTTTTTCTAAAGATAGACAAGATGATTGTATTACTGTACTCAGAGAAATTTATATTACAGACATTCCATCTTTCTGCAATAACATGCAACTAATTTTACAACAAAAGTATACTACAATACCTAATGGATTTAAACAAACAATAATAACAACTTCAAAATTATCTAAAAATGATTTCATTAAAATAATGAAAGAATTATTTATGCTTTTGAAAGAAACTTCATAAAATTATTCTTTCTTTTTTATTTTCTTTTAATTTTTTTAATTGAATAAAATATTAAAATAAAAATTATTTACTTTAAACTGGTTTTTGTTTATAATTCAACAATAACGAACCCATGATCTTTATCTTCACTATATTTCATTCCCATTTCATTTAACGTTTTAACTACTTCTTCTTTAATTTTAGAAAACCCTACTGTATTATGATGTCCCATACCACATTGACATCTTAATATTTTCTTTCCATCTTTTTTACGTGCCTCAATTTCTTCTTTCATCATAATGATAGCTCCTTCAATTTGAAGACCATGTAAATCAATAGTATCTTCTTCTGTCTCATATATTTGAACTTCATCAAAAGCTGCTTTATGTGTTGTGTATTTCATTGCCTCAAATTCTTCTTTTTGTTTTTGGAATTCATCATGTTTTGCTTGAACATCATTTGCTCCTGCTTCTTTAGCAACTAACCATGCTTTCTTAGCTTCTTCTACTTGGTCATGTTTTTTATCAAGTTCTCCATAATGTTTGGCATAAATTTCATCAAGAAGAATACTTTTATCTCCAGAAACAACTTCTTTTTTCCCATTTGGTCTATCTTCAATAACAGGAGCATCTCCTTTTGGTTTTGGAACATGAGTTCCTTCAGCTGGTTTATTTTCAATTGGTTTTTCAGTTGATGTAGTTTCAGTTGGTTTAGTTTCTTGTTTATTACTAGGCACAGTTTCAGTGGTAGTAGTTGTGGTAGTTTTATTTTCAACTCCTTGATATGTTTGGTCATTGTTTTGTTGTTGAACTGGTTTTTGATTCTTAGTTTCTTTATTCAAAGGAGTATTTTCATTCACAGATCCATTGGCTTTACTTTTCTTTGATAAGCAACAACCCATGTAATCTTTCTTCTATCAAATTTAAGTTTTTTTTCTTTTAAAGTTCTGTTAAATCCTATTTTTATCATATTTTGAAACTTCTTTCACTATATTTTGTACAAATTTCTTTTAAAATTTTCTTATGATTTTTCTTTTCACTTTTTTAATAAAAATTTATTATAGAAACTAAATTATATTCTAAGATCAATTTTATTTTTAAGACTTTTCTTTTTTTGAAATTTCATTGTTCTATTTTTATTTTAATTTTATTTTTTTCGTAAAATAAAGAAAAAATTATCCAAACTATATTTATCTTATGTATCAAATTTATTTAATTTTATCAATCAAAAAACATATTGAAGTTCATTTTTTTCAACCCTTTCAAGTAAACCTTTATTAATCAAAAATTCAATAGCTTTTCTGATTATTCTTTTATTAACGAAACATGTATTTTGAGGTGATGATAATAAAATTGAAGTAAGTTCATTGATTGATTTACTTTTTTCTCTTTTCATTATTTTCATAACTAAACAAATGAGTTTGTTGATTTTAAGTTGTTCATTGTCAATTTCAATTTCTGGTTTTTGTGTTTGGTTGTTGGGTTGAAGTAAATTAGTAATTTTATTAGTTGAAATAAAAGAAGGATCTAAAAAATACGTTTTATGTTCTTCTTTAATTACTTTATTTCCAACAAGTAAAGTAATCATTTTTATCATTACGTCTTTATTAGGACTAAGTTGAAGTAACTCTTCTTCAGTAATACATGATTTTTCATTTAATAACATAAGAATTGTTGTTTGAATAGTGTTACAATGAAGTAAATAATTAATTTCAGTGTTAAATTGATATTTTAAAACACAGTATGAGAGAATTGGAATAAAAATAAGTTTTTTATGACTGTTTTGAGGAAGATTTATGTAAATCGAATTCCACTTATTTAAAATACTATTCATAATAGACGGAAGAGTTATTTGAGTTAAGACCATTGGATCTGGTTGGTATATAGTAAATATAGAAGTGTTAAATTTAAAAGGGATATCAATAAATTCTTTAATTTTATCACCGAAAATAGAAGAAATTTTATATTCTTTAATTAATTCAATAATTCTT